CCCCCCGACTCAATCGGACTGTCCAGACAGATGGAATTAGAGCAGCCCGCCTCCTAGGCGATCTTGAGTAGATATGGACAGGAATTTTAGTCATTAAGGAAGCTAATGATACATCTTTCCATCAGGATTATAATAATGTCGCGTTCTTATTTTTTTTAATTCCTTTTTTTTAAAGAGTATTCAAGCAAAGGAATGAATGGTGTACTCCAGACTTCAACATAAGTTAAGGACCACTTGCAAACACTCTGAGTGGTCTTCTTGGGTCGACCTGCACGTGGGCGTTCTTGGACTGATCCAGTGGCCTCAGGCGGACAATGACAGAATGTGACTCTGCAAGCCTTCTGGCAACTTCTCGGGCTCCAACTCCATCCTGCAGCCATGCCATAGCTCTGGCACGATCAAAGTCTCCCAGCTTTCGTCTCGGTGGCATGTTGATGCGATACTGGATTTTGCACAAACGGCGGCTTATATTGCCACCAAAGTGAGCTCGCTCAGTTCGAGACAATACATCTGTTTATGACGAGCACCAGAAATTTTAACCGAGGAATGCCCGTGGTGTCGCACACAAGTCGATAAAAAACAGCAAATTTTAATAATTCTCTGAGGATTTCAGTGCTGCAGGTGGTGGTTTTGGTCCTTTAGGAAGCTTCGCAGTACGCACTGGTAACCCATTACACTTTCAGAGCAAAACGTTTTGAAACATAGCTTGCTGTCTTTTTTTTTTCGGATAAAAAAAAAATTAGGGCTGTCTGTCAAGGTGGACCTTACCTTATTATGTTGAAGTCTCTATGACTGTCGATGTCTGTCGCAGGCCTGGCACTTGATGATCACCAGGAACAGAAAAAATCAAAGTATACAAGAAAGGGGGGGGGGGGAGAATTTACCACATTAATTTGTTCCACGGCCCCGTAGAGTACGTTGGTCCCGCCAAAGTTGTGAATCATGCACCAGATAAACGGTTGACCGTAGTACGACTCGAATCTGCTGAACACTGGACTCAACTCTGAGGCAAGGTCAAGGACGATCATACGACCCTGGGGGGAATGAAGTCAGGTTTATTGACCTCACTGGTCATAGCAGAAACCTCATCAATTTCATCTGAATCCTTATTTATTCTTCTATTTCTCTGAGTTATACTACAGACTCTGGAGATACATTGGTCATCGTGAGACTTTGACGGATGAACTATTGTTTTCATCATTAGAGTTGGTCGCTTTTAAGGACAAGCGAGCTAACCCAGATTGCAGGGGTTTTTCAGAAATCTTGACCTACACCAAAAGTGGCCATTGCCCTACCTATAGGAGAAGTTTGGTTTCATTGGTGTGTATATGTGTTTGGTTACAGAGAAAACTCTCCTTGTCTTTTAAAGAAACATAAACTGAACAAGGGGCAAAGAGTTTACCTTCGATTTTCTCAAAACAGCATTTTTCGGGATAGCCCCCCCCCCCCCCTGTGATTAAAAGCAACCAGTTAAGCCTATACTTGACCGTTTATAATTTATTTATTGAAAGAGGCACCAAATGATTATGTTCATGCACTGGTTTAGCTCCTTTCTCCGTTGTCATTCAGCTTATTTTTCATTTTGTTTTTTTAATCCTGTATGCGTTATTTTTGTTTAACCATGAGTTTTTCTGTAATACATACATCTACGCAGACACACTCACGCAAACACACCCACCCACACACACACACACAAACACACACACACACACACACACACACACACACACACACACACACATATATATATATACACACAAACATCTAAGCAAGCACAAATGCTCAAGTGCACACACATGCACACACAATATGCTTATCCACTACAGAGACACTCACAATAGTCACTGAAGTGACCAAACAAACACTCACAATAGGCACTGAAGTGACCAAACAAACACTCACAATAGTCACTGAAGTGACCAAACAAATACTCACAATAGGCACTGAGGTGACCAAAGCCTTGACCTGCGGTGCTTGCCAAAAAGGGTCAAGGAACAGCCAGCCCTGCATGAGCCTGGGAAGCGAGAAAAAAAGTTTTGTTTGTTAAAGTGTGTTTGCTGGAATTAAGGAAAGTGTTATCATAAAGTAAAATACAAAGAGACGAAAGCTGAGAGACTTTGATCGTGCCAGAGCTATGGCATGGCTGCAGGACGGAGTTGGAGCCCGAGAAGTTGCCAGAAAGCTTGCAGCGTCACATTCTGTCATTGTCCGCCTGAGGCAGCGCCATCAAGCCACTGGATCAGTCCAAGAACGCCCACGTGCAGGTCGACCCAAGAAAAATAGGAGGAGAGATGACGACGATAGATGCTTGATAGGAAAGAAGGAGCAAACCGCACCAGAGTACCCGCCAAACAAAGAAGAAAATTGGGAGAATTTGTTCTCTTTTCATTATTTTACGAAATCCTCGCTTGATACACCGTATTTAACATGGCATTTTATATTACTGGAACATAATTTTTTCGGCTAGCTGTTTAAATATACGAAGCCCAAAATTTGGATGTTTCAAAAAAAAATTGCAGTTTCGTAATCTGTTGTGTTGATTGCTTGAATTCGAAAAAAATGGTGTTTAAAAATTCAAACTTTAAATGTTAACGAAAGCAAGAAAGAATCCATAAAGTAGGTACATAATATGTTTAAAAAATGAAACAAATTTTCTAAATACTCTCTCCTGAAAATGTTTGCACCACTAAGGGCAGACAATACACCGGTGACCCGAGCGTCGAGGCGTGGCACCATGAGGTCCCGTCTCTAAAATAGCCTAATAATGTTGATACAGGTGTAAAACCCACACACATTCTTACCCTTACTTACACTTACTCACACATACTTACCAGAGGGTGGGGTGGTGGAGCGGTTAGTGCGCTTGTCTCCGAAGCGAAAAGTCCGGGTTCGAGCCTCGTATCGGAAACGATTTTTTTTCGCCCCCGTCCTGCCTACCCAGCAGTAATGGGTACCTGACTTCGAGTTGGGGAAGTAAAGGCGGCGTGGAAAGGAAGTAACTGACCACCCTACCACAATATGCCGAAGGCCCAGGAAGTTTTCTCACTACCAAGGCAATCCCCAATGTCCGGATCGGATGTGGGAACAACTTTTACTTTTTGACTCACCACACAGCGTCAGGATCTCCGGCTATCATCCCTTTGTACACAGCACTACCTGCCGACCTGATGTACTCTGGCTCTCTGGTGAAGGGTGTGGAAGAGGGTGGCTTTTAATAAATAATAAGAAAGTATATGTATATACTAAGTTTTTGTTGATGCTTATTTATTTGTTTCATTGTTTGTTGGAGCTAGAACAGAGCCCAGACATGATTAACTTGTTTCTCTATACATAAATTTTAAATCATAAAAGGTTTAGGTTCTTCATTAGTTGGTTCGTTGCTTGTTTACTTTTTGTCGGTTTATGTTCTTTTTACTCTGTTTTTTTTATAAACGTTTTTAGTTGTATTATTCCTTGTTTGTTTTTTTTTCGTTTTATCTAATTTCTGTGTGTGTTCATTTGTTTGTTGTTTTGTGCTGGAACTTTGTTATGTTTGTCTGTTGCTTTTTTTTGTCTGGGACTATTGATGAAAAGTTGAAAAGAAAAAGGGAAGAAATGAAAGCAGAGTTGACCTGTATTTGAAAGTGCCGTTTTGTTTTATAACAGTACGTTAATCAAAATTGTCTGAGCACAAACAAAGTTCCCTAAAGTTAATCCATGTCTCTGGTTAGCAAGCGACAAAAACAGGAGGAAAAAACTCTTTGCGATAAAAATAAGAACCCAGTTTCATTGATGAATACTGTCTACAAAGATGAGGACTATCAAAATGTTAATTTAAAAACAACTCATCGCTGAGAAATGATACACCATCACTTCCTTTCTCACTCTGCACAAGGGTATAGGCCAGGAACAAACAATTTCTCACCCTGCAGCAGGGTATAGGCCACGGAAAAACATGTCCCACCTTTCTCCATCTTGGGCTAGCCTCTTGATGTTATTCCATGTCTTCCCATTTTTCTGTACATCAATTTCTGTGATTCTTCTCCAGGTTCCACGCAGTCTTCCCATTGATCTCTTACCCTGTGGATTCCAATCCAACACTTTTTTTCTTATGCAGCTGCTTGACTTCCTGAGAGTATGTCCAATCCATCGCCGCCGCCTTAAATTCTTCCTACCTCATCTCTGAATGGGATCTGTCTCGTTTTCCTAACCAAATGATACATAGGCCTACACTTACTTACTTTTTACTTCTCTGTCATCTGTTACTTTACGGTGCCGATGGGAGAAGTAGATTAAATGTCTTTCCCTTGTTTCTTGTATCACCTGTTGCATGATGATATTTGTTTGTGTAATGTTTCTGTGACCCTTCTGTCTATCTTTACCTGGGCCTGCCTCTTCCGCTGTATCAGTCTCATCTCTGGATGTATGCTATAGACACTATCAAGATCTAACACCTCACCTTCTCGGATAAGCGTGAAAAATGTCGAAGGTCCCGGGTGCAAGTTGCACACGTTCAAGATCCTTTGGTGGTCTAAAATCGGTAAGAGTAGGCTTCGGCCGCCACTT